TTCAAGGAATGGCCCCTCGCAAGTCTATCTCTTTTGATAATACCCACTTGTTGATAATGGGCGTGTCGTATCCTCTTCTTGCCCATTTCGCCTTGTAATCATACGAGAATTTGAAGATCAGCTTTTTAAGGTCGCTGCTTTTTCCTAGTTTGTCTTGTATGGTTTTCGAGATTCTATCCAATATTAACTGAAAACAATAAAAAAAATTTAGCAAATGCCCAAAAATTAAATATTCTAGTTAACTCACCGGCACACTTGTCATGCAAGTGGGCTGCAGGACCGACGCATCTCCTTTAGTGCCTTTCTTAATTTTGCTGGACGAATCAAGCATAGTGAGAGCACTGGAGTAGCCAATCGGCACGCCAGCACAAAGACACACGGTTTCCACCAGTAGCTCAAAAACATGGGCTGCAACAAGAAATGGAAATTTTTGTTGAATTATAGAAAAAAAACTATTTATACAAGATAACAAATAGTCCTCGTTTGGATACATGTGCGACTTGTGCTTTTTGGGAACTTTTTCATTCTGCAATCTTCTTGCAAATTTCACAGTGTTTCATCGTATTTTGATACTGAAACGCCGTTTGAACATCAATTGAAAGTCGCTAATTTTCCAATATTTTTCAGTAGACAAACGCTTCGAAATATTGTGCATGAAGCATGGAATGTTGACTTCAGATCATTTTTGATTAAAAACCCGTACTTTCTGAACACTTCGTGAAAATAATTAAGGTATCTACTGGTGTTTCGTTTTGAAGAAGTTTCCGATTCCCTGAAAATGTTCAGCTTGCCGGAAAACCCTTTGGAAAATACGCGATATTTCTGTTCTATCGGCATTTAAACATCAAGTACGTACCTATTCGTAGTAGAACTAACACGAAACGTGAACTCATTATTCTGAACTATTCAAACCTTAATTGCCTGACGCACAAAAATACTGAGTCTGTTTCGGATCATTTGAAAACTATCTAAACAATCAATCAAAGCTTACCCAAAGGTAGGAATCCAATCATTATGTCTTGCTCGTAGATATCGGTAGCATCACAGAAAGCCTTTAAAGTGGCAATCAGATTCTTATGCAAAATCATTACGCCCTTAGGCACCCCAGTAGAGCCACTGGTGTACATGATGATGGCTGGATCATTTGTTTCGGGAGGACTGCTTTCTGCAAAAAAGAACCATCGAATTATATTGAGCCGATGGGAAGTTTTAGAGGAGTTAGCTGAGGAAAAAAGGGCTAAAAATCAAATTTGCAGCTGAATAATCGGGATTACCTTTTTGAAACTTGCACTTGCAATTGTGATTCTGCAAACAAATCTGTCTTGAACATAAACCTACAAATTTAATGAGCATTGAACTTCCAGCGACAGTCCCTTGTGCTCCACCCAGATCAAATGAGGGTTTTTCGCTACTAACTACAAAATGTTCTCTGGCAGCTTACCATATTTCGATCCTTTTCCTTTTTTCAAAACCTCTGTGAGGCTGATGATTTGGATACCATCGGCATATCCGGTTTTATCCAAGTCCTTCAGCTGGTCCTCCATGTAAATCAGGGTTTTCACTTTCGGAGTTAAAGCGAGCACTTTCTTAAACTTGGGCATCAGTTCAAAGGATGTCACCACAGTGGTGACATCAGTTTCGTTGATTCCATGAGCGATAGCTTCATCTCCTGTAAAACCAATTAGTTTTATTTTAATTTATTTAATATTTATTTACGAATTTATTATAAACCATTTCACCATCAGGACCTACAGTCTTACCTAATGTGGCATAAATGGTGACTAATGGAATATTTTCCCTGAAAAGTCCATGGGCTGCAATCATCCATTCAGCTCTTGTTTCGGCGAAGATGACAACGTTTTCTCCGGGCTTGCAACCGAGCTCTCTCAGTCCCTTTCCAAAATTGGTGGCCAACATGTTCACTTCGGAATACGTTTTCCAGCGGTATTCACCCATGTTGAACTAAACAGAATATTGATCTTTATAACAAAGAAAATGTAAAAAACGTTTTGTATAATCCAAATATTTCACTGGTGCACCCCAACGCTCTGAATTATGGACACATTGAGGGATTGATCCCAAATAGAAATTTTTTAAAAGGTTCTTTCGAAGAAGGATTGACGAATGACTAGAAGAGAATGTTCTTTCCTTTGCTCTCAAGTAAATTACAAATAGACAATGAGGAGAATGAAAAAAAGCTGGAAAGGAATCATTTCGGCATGCGGTGCGTTAAACTTCTTCTTCGAGGCAAATTATTGACTTGCTCTTAAAGGCATTTGGACCAGAGTAGTTGGCATGGAAAACGTCCTTTTCGACTGCAACCTGTGTCCAGGTTAAAACAATAAAATGTATTTTATAAGAAAAACTTTAACAGAGAAAGCAGCGTTGTACAATCAAAAGATCGAAATACGTCAGACAATTTAGGAGAACCCACGAATTATGTTTATTAAAACAAATTCGCAGAAATGTGTAAATGTTGAAAAAAGCAAATAAGATAACCAAAATACGTAATCCTGCAGGAGATTGTGCTTTGAAACTCTTTAGTGCAGCCTGATTGGAGCATTTCCAACTTTTCGTGTGGCAAATAACTTTGTTCAGGTTTCTTTGAATTTGCTATTGCTTGGCCGAAAAGGACCTCCACACATGCAGTAGAACAATAAATCAATATGCCATTACAGTGCGCTTAGAAGTTGCTGTATAAAAACAACAATTCTCACAAATTACCGCATAAAAATCGTGACTTTGGACACTTTGGCTTTCATCGGCTTAATTCTCATTAAACACCTTCCAAGAATAATGACTAAATAATTATTTTATTAATCAGCTCAGCCGTTTTCAATTAAATGCGATTGTGCATTACACCTGATTAAATTCGTCCGAACAGTGAATAGACGGTTTTGCTTCATTAATTCGAATAATGCAAAATATTATATTATATGAGTAATAATAAGCAGGCAACAATCAACAATTTCTTGCTAGATAAAGGAATGGTATACAATCTCTTTAAACATGCTAATTAATTAAATAACGTTATAATAATATTGTTGAGATTTGATCGCATTATTGCTATACTCGCTTGATTGCACCGTTGGGTCAGATATTCCGATTCTATTTAAATATGTTATTCAAATGATCCCCAATTGGAGTAAAATGGAAGGTTTTTGCCAAAACTCTTGGATCTTTAATGGCTTATTGAAAAGCTCTAGTAGAATTTTTGAAAGTTTTTCCACTATTCGTGGAGAATCGAAAAAGGGAGATTAATTCCTATATTCTTGGAAAAAATTCAAAAATTGTCACACACATTTTTATATCAATGTAACCATGAGAACTTAATCCATTAATAGACTAAGAGTTAGAACATCAAATAGAGTACAAACCAGCTTTTCTCTATGAATTTGCAGAATTTACGTTACTTCTTTTATACTACCTCAGGAGTAAATTATTACACTTATATCACGATCAGTACGACAAATGGACTCACACTCATGAGTCAATTTTTTCTCTCCCAACCAACCCAAACGACTTGTGTTTGCTGATGTTTGCAGCTTTACCTTTCGACTCTTCATCTACACTTATCACACGTTTAATTCAGTTCTGACCTTTTTGAACACTTTTCCATTGGACTGTTGCTCATCATCCTCGCCGAAAATCTCCCTGGTACCCAGACATCTCTTGTTGGGGTATTTTTTCGTAACAAACTCCATCAGTTTGACCATGGTGTCGACCTTCTCCCGCAACAGCGTCACGTGCAGAGGTCCAGGTTGCATGGTCGATCTGTAGGTAATGGTTTTGGCGTCCTGAGATATTGGTTGGGCCTGTTGCAACATGAACACATTTTAAATAGAGACGCTGGCAATGCACGATCTACGGAAGTATTTTCATAATACAATTTTCCCCTATGAAAATCTAAGCTCGGTGCAATTGTTGGTGTTAGTTGGGCACTTAACTGTAATCATGCAAAATTCGAGCTGCGTATGTGATGCAATTAGAAAACAATAATTTCCCAGTTTTATTGTGGTCATTATGCCTTATCGCTTCACTTTTGTAGATAAACAGGTGTTCGACTATTGTTGTTTTGCCAAAGTAGGTTCAATAAGTAGAAAAATTTAGTTTCTAAAATAACTAAATCTTTTCTGCGCTAATTAGTTTTTTCATTATACCCGATGTCAACATATTCGCACTGTAACAAACAGTGAATAAAAGAGTTAATTGAAAAATCCAGTCATGTAAAATGGTAATTTATAGGGTGCCCCAGAAAAGTGTGGCACATTAAAGTCAATGTTTTGGCTTTATGCAGATGCAAAAAAACTCACTAGTAAAAAAAATGGTTCCATTCTGCACGTTACCGCTTTCAAACCCTTAAAATTCATTCTTGAATAACTCCTGTATATTTAAAGAATCGGCTTTTTTTGTATTGAAGTGTGTAATTAACGGTCTTTTTCAAGGCATCAAAGGTACATTCAGCCTAGCGCTTTCGACTTATTCAGTCATCATCAGAGCTCTGATGATGACTGAATAAGTCGAAAGCGCTAGGCTGAATGTACCTTTGATGCCTTGAAAAAGACCGTTAATTACACACTAATGCATTGCAATTTGTCATCAGAGCCTGATGATGACTGAATAAGTCGAAAGCGCTAGGCTGAATGTACCTTTGAAGGCTTGAAAAAGACCGTTAATTACACACTTCAATACAAAAAAGACCGATTCTTTGATTTCATCGAGTGTGTACACACTAATGCATTGCAATTTGCGGAAAAACTATGAATGCCACAAGATTTGACCAAGAACAGGAAAATATCAGGAAACGGCAATTGTTGAAACGCAACAAACAAATTAATTGATTCTGCCTATCAAGGAAAAAGTTCTGCTGGTTTTTGCACCAAGACACTTTATCAGCTTTATCAATCAATCAAAATGGGAAATTAAATTCTGGTTTCCAGGATTACGCGCCCCACATTTGGGAACCCATACAAATAATTCACTCCATTTAACTCAAACTTCCTAACATAATGTGTTTTTGCCTACTATAAATTATTAGTACCTACTGTCCTATTTGACTACACTTAAACAAATGCATCACATAACGTCTTTCGAACCCCCTGCTCGAACATGAATACCTTCAACCAGCCGAAACCCTCTAGATTAACATGCTGCACACCTCAGTGCAAGTTCCTTCAATTTGCTCAAAGCCCACTTCACTTATATAAAACCGCTTAGAACAGTTGTATATCAGTGAAGCACACCAAGGCCTAGTCTAGTTGAACCCTCCATATATAGTTTACCGTTGTATTATACCTTATAGTTATTATTATTTATCGTAGATGTCTCTACGAATTTGTTTGTTAGATCCCTCATTTCAATGGAAACATCATCTTTCTTATTATTTTCACGTTCGGTCGACGCGACAAATGCCTATAAACAAATCGGGTAAACACAGGAAAAAAGACACAGTTAGGGAAAACAGTCAAGGGACGAAACACAATTGAACGGAAGCCTTGAACACTATTTGCCTGCAAAGTTAAAAATAGCAAGCTCTTCGAATGAAAACATTCTAGAACTCAAGTTCTCATCTCTCATAAGCAGACCTTGGCAGGTGGCGTGTTATAACAAATTATTAAATAAAAACAATGATAATTATCATAGGATTAAATCCATTCAGTGTGTAGTTAAACTGAATTTAATGGCTGTTAACAATAACGCTGCAGGCAATTAGGTTTATCGATACCCTTTCACCTGGTTGTTGCTAATTTATTTCGTACGGATTGTGGGGTTTTTTTGCCGATGAATGTGCAGTTTTTTGCATTGGAAATCTGCATTGGATTGAAAATATTAGTTCTATAAAAAGTTCATTTGTACAAACTCCGTTGTCGCAATGTGGCAGACAAGCTGTAAATTGTGCTAATCTATCGGTATAGCACAGTATAGATAAGCAAAACCTCGATGTTAATTTCAAAATTCAATGAGTTTCCCCTTGTTCATGCCACAGCAGCATCGGATGAGATCGTTTTATCGCGGCGACGTGATTTGCATGCGAAATATCAACAAAATTTTACAAAATAAACGAATGAAAAAAACTGCCACTAAAGCTCTAGTCCCAGTCTACAAGCTCGACAACTTTGATGTTCAAGCAGCATCTGCAGAATGCACTTTTGCCGGGCTGGAAAAATTCGAATTGAAATCCACAAATTTTCCGGATTTGTTTAACCGTACCGCTCGATACAGCCTGATATTTCGTATTATACAGGGTGATCCGTAATTAATCGCCATCGAGCTACTGCGGATTCTAGATATCGATATAGATGTGATGCCGCAGTGAACTATTTTTCCATTACGGAAATACTTGAAATTGTTCACGTTAAATCGATAATTTCCACAATTTTTATCCAAATTTCCCGAATGAACCATTTCCTGGCAGGTGGATGATTGGCGACAGTGAATTTTCTGGGCCAGTTCGGAGTCCCGATCATGATCTCTCAGATTTTTACTTTGAAAAAATTAAATGTGTGTAGCGCCTGAAGGCAACTTAAACAAAGTTTAGATTATAATGTTCCAACAGCAAAACTCCGCTATTGTAACTTTCTGCGAACTCTCAATTAAAATCTGCCTAATTATTGAAGAAAATATAATGAGCAGTTACACGATGACGCTTTACCTTTCTTAACTACCGACCACTCTGTATGTACTACTGGATAGCAAAGAACAAAAAGATCATTAAAAAAATAAAAAAAGAGAAAGTAAAAATCTCAACTGTTTAATTTTTCGTTTGAAATTATTTAACGAGAACCAAAAAAAGAACTACTCAATGTATATAAACTGCTGCTTTAAAACATTCAAAAACATTCATCCCCCATCTCCACACAATCAGCCACATTTCAAGTACCAGAGAAAATATCTTGAAATAATTAAATGTTTGAAAATTGCAGTTAATTAAAGAATTTTAAAAAGCTTCCCAATGAAAAGACCAGCACAGAAAAGCAAAAGACCAAAAAAACATGTCGCAAACTGATCAATTCGAGTTGATCGCACAACTGATGCTGATCAGTGATGGAGCCGAGCCAAGACACGCGCATGCGCTTAACACAACACGCTAATCCTGACCTTAATTTTTCTGGAATGCTGTCGCTGTTGCCAAGGCCTCTGGAGGAGCACGTAAATTGGGAAGGTTAGGATGTCGTAAATGAAGGCTAGAGCCCGTATAGCGCCTAGCGCTATGCTAAAGCCTATTCCATCCATATTCCTGAAACAAAAAAAAAATTACTTATTTTCTCCAAAAACGCTTGAAGTGAAAAAACAACCTGCATTTCAAAGTCATTGAAATTGTGTAAAAATTGTTTGTTGTAGTATAGGATAAGCAATGATAGATAGGTGGAAGCAAATGCGACTTAATTATCAATTTATATAAAAAATATCTTCAAAATGTCCTTCCAAAAATATAAAACTTGAAATCCCAATCTAAAACTCTAAGCAAACAAAAATACTTGTCCATCTACAATGTTGCGAAACGTACTGAGGATGCGTCTGAAGCTAGTCATAAAGAAAAAATTGCATGTTTTATTGCAATAATTTGAGCAAAATCCCCATGTTTCAACAAGGTTGCATGCGGAAAAAATGGTTATTAACTGTAAAAGTTTGAACCTTAATAAAAAAAAACAACGTTGTCAAGCTATCTTAAGTACTGCGATGACCGAAGAAAAACGCCTAAGAGCCTTAAATCCTCTTTAGATTTTTGCATAAATTGAAAAACGCGCAAGTTTCCATCTCTAAACATTTGCAAAACTTTCGTCTTCTCCCAAATATAAACGAAGTTTGCACATTTTCGGCTGTATTTGATTTGAACAAAACGCTAAATAAATAAATTTAGGTTAAATTAATCGGAAATAATGATTAAGGCGCAACAATTGCGCCAAAAATACCGTGAATACTTTAATTAATGTTATCAACTTACTTCACATTTTAGGTGATATTTTAAGTTTTAATTTAATTAATTAAATTGCTACGTACTACCGATTAAAGGCTTATTATTAGAACGTTTTATACGTAAGCTAATTGAACGTAATTTTGCGAAAGATATTTTGTAAAATGTTTTTTACTTTTTCTATTAACCTGTCATATATATATATATATATATTTACCAATTCCTAATTAAACCTAATTAGCAAAAAACAGTTGGAAAAACTACTTTCTTATTGAATTTTCACACGTTTTCAACAGGTTTTCCCGATATAAGTTAATGCATTTTGTTGTTCCGTTTATTCTCAAATTTGTGCTTCAAATTCTGTTCCAAAGATTAGGATTTCCAATAATTTTAATTAAGCCTAATTTAGTTTTATGATAAGCAATTCTTGTTGACCAAATTCAACAAACTTTGTACTTAAGATAACCGCATAGGAAAAAGTAAAGGGGAGATAAATCTGGTCTGGATGGTGGCTTTATCTTTTATGTTCAGAAATATACAGGGTGTACTAATTATTAAAGATCAAAGCCGATGCTTGGATTTAAACCTTAACTGTTTGTTAATCTTGTCAGTTATTGGAAAACAACTAACATCTCGCAATAAAGCAAAAATGAAAATTGTAATAAGTAATTGAGACAGCAATTTGCTTTCGTTCAATTAATTAATTTTTGTATTTAACAATTTAAACTGTTTGCAAACAACTTTGCTGATCTTCAAAAAGCAAGTAAAACCGTTTGGATGTAGTCAAAAAAATGTATTGAAAGTCTATTTAAAACGACAAAAATCGTGACTAATTTTTTATGGATTATGCTCCTTGACAATGGAATTGTCTGCTTTTTTAACAGGATTTGGATAGACGTAAAATGAAAATTAGTTTACTTAAACTGCCGGCGCTTTGCTATATTTATTCAGGCATCCTCAGAGCACTAAAGATAATACATAAAAATTGGTTAATAAAACGCCGATTTTTCTGTATTTCGAATTGTAGTGTCCTGTGAATGCCTGAATAAATATTGCAAAACGACAGAAATATAAAAAATCATACAAAATTTACACTGTGCTCAAGTACAAAAATTGCGGAATAAAACACAATTTTTTTGTTATCGTGGCTAGTTCACAAACCTTTAATGTTTAAGAAACAAAATCGATTTTTGAAGCCTTAGCTGAACATTTTGCATAAAAATAGACGGAATAGACAAATTTCAACTATTAATTGGTGCGCCTTGAAGAACGTTCAAACACAATCAAAAAAGCATCTTCCATCAAACATCCACAACTGAACCAATGCCTAGTAAAAGCTTTGTTGTAAAGTGTAAAAGTTTAATAACTTAAAGGAACAATATCTCAAAGTTTATTAAACAAACTAAAAATACCCATAGAAAGTCAAATGAAAATTGCATGAATACGCACTGAAACTAATTGATTTGTCATCACTCCTGATGAATCAACGTAGAAATGCAAATAACGGTGGCTATTTTTATGAACGTATCTAAGATCATAAAAATATTAATATGGATTACAAGGGAATAAAGCGAGTATTTGCTGCTGATAGATGGTGGGTGTTTCCTTAAAGCACAAGGTTACCTTTCTCGAGTCAGAACTTTGATAATCCTTCTGTATTTCAGATAATAGAATATGTGAAGATTATTCCAATAAAACGTGTGCTATCGACGATCACAATTACACCAGCGTCTTTCTTGGAATCTTAGCCTATTCTTTGTTTCTAGCAAAACTTTGCTAACCGTTCGGATAAATAATTAATTTCGGTTGTTTAACGTAACAACTAGCACATTGCGGAAGAACAAATGCAGAATGCACCAGTAATTTATTATGGCTTATTCCATGGCATTGACCTGAAGACTGCGAAAATGTTATGGTAAAGTTACCGGTTTGGTAAACCGTAAGCTATTCGCATCACATAGATCTCCGACATTGCTAAATAACACCTAATTGGCATAAGATGTAGGATTTTGTGTAGATTTAAAAATGACTTCGTTATTACATTAATCATTCTCTTTAAATCTCCTCTAAGCTTCAATTCCAAAACACAAATAAAGCTACATTATATTTTACAGGTTTTGGAAATTATCGCCGGTTATAGCGAATATAGTAGCATGACTTAGTTAGATTTTTAATGGGTTGGGCAATTTTCATAAATTTTCCCCAATTCGCAACTAATTCTTATTATTTTACAATGTTTTGGGAGCAGCAAGATTTCCTTCAATGCTTTAGTAGCAAAGCGAACAAAATAAAAGTCAGTAAAACTCGAAAAAACCACGATTTTAAAAATTACTGCAACAAAAAAAAATGTCAGGCTTTTATGCTTTGTAGTTGCGTGGAAAAACGGTTAATTTCTGCAGTTTTCATTGTTGAATTTGGTAACGTTGACCATAATTCAATTTCAATTTATCCGTGTGTTATAGTGACTTACACGTGTTATGATATTTCATCAATTTACTTTTGTAATAGATTTTACTAACTGTATTTTGTTACTCATTTTATTTGAGGTATCTGGAACCTTTTTTAACCAGCCAATGCAAGAATTATTTTTTAAATTAAATCATTCGTTCTTTTACACATTCTTTAAAAACTCGTTCCTTGTTCGTTATAAAAGTTTCTGGCAAGAATTTTGTATAAATTGAAAAACACGCAAGTTTCCACCTTTAAACATCTTCAAACCCATGAACAGTTGCACATTTTTCGCCTGCAGATGATGTGGCAATGAAAAATGCAGAACGATATCGATATTATCGATAGCAAAAAAATGCCTCCATAAAAATAAAAAATGTATTATTTCTGGCACAGTGCATAGTTTTTTTCCCTTTCTACCCAGCCAATGAAAGCAAATACTCACAATTTGTTCTTCAAAACGTGGTAATGAAGTATTGGATGTGCAAATATGGAAGAAAAAGTCTTTATATTTCTGATTACGCTTTTATGGTGTTTACACTATTTTAAGAGTCATCAACTCCATCCAACTTAACAAACCCAAAGAACAAGCCATTTGGGATTTTTAACGCTCACTTATGGTGGTTTCATCGCTTTGAAAAATTCTCGAAAACTTCGAGGGAAATCTAAAGAAAACCTTTCCAAAACAATGCATCTTCTATTATCAACAATATTTCATATAAACTGCCAGACTAGTCGAATAATCAGTTATTTTGTGGGATGGATAAAATGTCCAGTCTAAAATTTATTAAGCCTTAACGCCAGCAATAAAGTAATAAATATGTAGGCTATTTTGTCGGCTTCTAGTTAGGTTTCTCTTATCATTCCGTTGCTACCAGACAATTATGTTTTATGTTGTACCAATCATCTTTATCTTAACGCGGACCAATAAATTAAAATAAAAACTTTCGGAAAACAAACATGGTATTTTGCACTTTTTCGGCGAAATATCCAAAAATAATTTTGTGCTTGAAACTCCTATAACATATTTGATTGGGTTTATCCCCAGGAACGATTTCATTTTTCCTTAAATTGAATTATTTATTGATTATTTTGCTGATGAGCTCATTTATTTATGTGAAACTGGACTTAATCCATTGGCGAAAAAATGAATCAATCACAATGAGATTATGGATTTTACTCCAGATTATTCATTTCCAACGTCACGTTGCTAATCGACTTTTACGCTGCTTTCTACAAGTCATCCATCCATCTTTTCAGGAAACTGCAGGGATTACAATTTTTTAAATAGTTTTATTGCAGTTGTAGGTTGTTTTCCACCTAGCAGAACACTTTGAGTTTTACACATCCACAAAAAAAACTCTTTTTGAGAACAAACCTTAATTATTTTACACAAATCACTGTTGTGAACATTTAGCTTAATTTTAGTCGAAGAAGAGGAACTGAACTAAAAGTTTTGAAAAGTAATGAAGGCAAATTTCCGATTAAGACATTCTAGTAAATCGTGACCAATTAAAGACGCACCTTAAAATCAAAACACAACTAATCTTATCAAGTACACAAAAATATCTGGCAAATCAACTGTTTCTTCCAGGGAAACGGTTGAAGAGGTCAATTGATGAAATGAAATTCCTGCTGCTCGTCTGATAATCGCATATGCCTAATATAAAAGCACGTGGGCATTTATTTCGACTGTTCTGGAATGTTTTCCAATTCCAGCTCTCACATCGAGTAGCTGAGATAACGCAAATAAAAATTCCCGTTTTACAGAGTTCGAAGAAAAATTCTCGCTTGATTTGAACACATGGCAAAAATATCTCCAATGTAAATTTATCTCCAAGCATGCACTCAACTCTGAAGCATCCACAATTTCAAAAATTCCTACAATGTACTAAATTCCATTTGATCGGAAGACCTAACAAAAGTAAAAAAAAAAGTGTACATACCCTCCCATATACATTTGAACTGGTAAGTCTCCTCCGGGCTACTTGGCAAATGAAAAATTCCTAAAATGAGCACAAACCACAAGGAAAAGGAACCCTAAAACAAGCGACACAAGAGCACAGCAACAGAATCACAAAATTGGATTGGAAGTGAACGGCCACTACGAAGTCGCGGTCACGAATGAACATGTAGTACTATGGACCTCGATAAAACTAGGAATGATAAGAACTCAAATTTGGATTAGAAAAACAATATTTTTTTAAAACTCAACCCGAGTTGACGACTGATAAGTCGAGGTCGAGTGGCACTGTAGACTAGCGAGCATTGGGGAATCGAATGTTTCCCATTCATTGTTATATGTAAGTATCTTAAGCATATCTATGGATTATTAAGAGTCTCAGTATCTACACGCTGAATCGATTCCTTTTTTCTGCTGAACTGGACGAGTCTGGCTACGCGAATTGTTTCATTTCTCTTGCTTTGCACCAGAATTTTACATTAATTTGGCAAGTTTTTGGTGTTGAACATATGGAATAATATTTTCTAAATGAACAATGTTTGTATAAATGGAATTAGGCGAGTGCTGAGTTGCTGAATGTTACTTCTTGTACTTCTACTTATAGTAAGTAAGTACTTACTACTTATAGTAGTAAGTAGAATAGTAAGTAGCAGTATTATAAGAGTAATTATAATAAGAGAAGAGTCCATGAAATGATACAGATTAAAAAACATAACAATGCTATGAATTTCAGATCGGATACCGACAATCTTAGCTCAGTATATCATACATTAATTAAACGAAATAAACATTGAATATTAACGAACACCCGGTATATTGAAGAATTTTGCAAACCAAAAACAATATCCTCAGAATGCAAAGAAAAATAGCTATCAATATAAACAGTATTTTATTCACTTTGTGTCCAAAATGGACAAAATTAATACTCCAAATGTATGCCAAGGCTTAAAGCAGCAACAACGCTACACATATAAGTAAAAATATTTAAGTATCTGAACAAATAATTCTAGTCTCTTCCCAAATTTGATTGTCCTGACTAATCACCTGTTAGGCCTAATTAATTTTAGAATGT